AGAAGTCACCATGGAGGCAACATCGTGCACTATGAACAAAGATAGGAAAATGTAGACAATCGCCTTCTTGGGAACCATTATGTGTTAAAAAAAATATATTTTATATTGTTTTCCTGTATTGTAGACACCGATTAAGTGAAAATGAGGTCTCGTTTTATAGGCGAGGATGAAGGAAAAGAAATTGAAGTTGCCAGTGTTCAACTTGTGAACCTCGTGAGTCTTTTTTTGTTTGGGCTCCATTAAAATCGTGTGGGGCCCATAGAAATTATTTATCCAAATTGTCCTCATTATTCAAAATAGAATGGATGCCATAGTAGTTATTAAGCCTCGTGAGTCTTATTTTGTTTTGGCTCCATTAAAATCAAGTGGTGGCTCCATTAAAATCAAGTGGGGTCCTTAGTAATTATTTATCCAAATTGTCCTCATTATTCAAAATAGAATGATACCAAAATAGAAGAGAGAAAAGATAAGGAAAGATTCTTTCCCCAGCCTAGGGACACCGATACCAGGGCAACGCATAAGTTGGATGTCGTTTTCCGTAGTTGGGTGCAATCTTAATGGTATTGTTGATGTATATTTTGCAGAGAGATGCTTGATGTACACTCTTGGGTATACATCATGCATTACACTCCCGCAATTTTAAAAATCGCAGATCCCACACTCCATTGTGAAAGAGTGCAAGTCTTAATGTACACAAGCAAATCTCCACTATTTAAGAATATTATAACATTTTAAACTTATTTAAATGGCACCTACCCTTTTTAAACAATAAAATGATGTTTCTATCTGTTTGACATATGTAATATCTATTTTGATATACGAAACTGTTTTTGTGTGTTTTGAATATAATTTGTTATTCAAAAAATTATTTTCAATCACATATTACTCCATTAAATAATTTTATATGTAAATCGATTTTTATTTTTAATCACACGTTTTCACTATTTCAAGATATATTTTTCTTACAAAAACTGAGCTCAAACAGGGGTGCAATGGCTTTAAAAATTAAATTAATTAATTCAAATATAAACATTATTTTGAACTAAGAAGAACATTCGAATCTTGGTTATTTGATACAACGAATGATTCACTAAATCAATTATAAAAAGTTAAACCAATGTAAAATGTTCATTTTTACTAAGTCCTAATAAGAACCGTGACCCGTGAATTCATAGAATTAGACATATGATTCGAATTATATAGACATTCACTATTTAGTTTTTGGTACCAAAATCTTCTCTTTCAAAAGCTGAAATAAGTTACTTTTTATTTAGAACTACTTTGTAATCGAAAAGTTTACTTAAATAAACTAGCAAGTCTTAATAATAATAATAATAATAATAATAATAATAATAACCTTTTTCTATTGTGAAAGTTGGAAAGTAAAAATTTTCTTATGTTGAGAGTGGATGATAATTGTTTCAGAAAAGTATTATTTTAAGTAAAGTCCAGGGTATGTTTTATTAAAGGCCATCCTTTTGCATATTATGTTTTTGTTATAGAATTTTTTTTTTATCATTAAGAAAAATATAAAAAAAATTGAACTTTTACAATATGCTTGGTGACAATGTAGGAAGATAATATCAAGAAAATAAAATAAAAAAATTGAATACCAAGTATGAAGTGGTTGTTAAAGATCGATCGTAATGGATTTTCGATAAATGAAATCATTAACCATATAGACATATAACAAATGATATCTTCAAATTTATTTTTCATTCTTGCACGACGGAATCGGAGGTGAACAACCCTTAAATCTACCTCTACATGTGTTTTTCACTTCATCTACCAAATTCACATCTTAGATCGAGATTACAAATAAAAATAATATTAATGAACGATAATCTGTAAATAATCATTCATTCCAGATTTTTTTTTTTACTATTTTCTCTCTCAAATCGAATAAATAATAGATTATACATTAGTTTAATTGTATTATTCCCAGTTCCCTTTGGAAAACTTAATTATAAGATTATGGGATAAAAAAAGGAAAATATTATTTAAATGAATAGCTCATTTTAAAACTTAAAATTACATGTAAACTGTAAACTCCACTTATCTATACTGACACCCATCAATTTCTTACCACACGTTTTCCATCTGTTTGGACCGACATTTTCACACATGTTGCCAATTTGACTGACTTGGGGCGGAGCTACAGCTCCCCCTGCCCCCCCTACGTATTAGCGCCCCCCGTCGTCCGGTCCTGGATCCATCCCTACCCACATGGAATCATGTGTTTTTGTTATGGAAATATTGAGATAAGTAAGTTCTCTTGTTTGATCGTTAAGAAAATACTAAAATAAAAATCAATCATCTTTAATTATTAATGAGTGATGTTCATTACTCTACATAGACTAATTACGTTGGAATCAATAATATATGATTTTCAGCTAATCATCTTTAAGTATCTTATGCTAATTTGTTTTTGGAAAGAGGGTTCGTTGTTGGAAATGAAGAGATCCGTACGTGTTCTTCCAAATTTTATCAAAGGGAATATATAACATGGAATCGACTCAACAGTTAGATTACAAATACCAACTTTCAAGATCTGCTTGGGACAATTAAAAGGAAATCTTGTTTAGTATTGCTTCTTCCACCAAGATAGACTCTGTATTGTCCTTGGAAGTTAATGGTAATTTGAGTTACCATATATTGTTGCCACCTTCAAACACTTAGAATCAGTTCCCCTTCTCGAGATCATTACCTGCAATAACATGTACTCGTTTGAACAACTGGATAATCAAATATAAATTTCTCTTAGTAGTTCACGTGACTATCACACAACAAATGTATCAGCAATGCATTTCAAAGAAACATAGGAGCTTCCTTTTTAACGAAACAATCCAAGATCAATTCATAATAGCTTATTTGACGGGGTCTTTCTACACTAAGCCTCCATTTGAATACAATTTATAAATTGATTTATATATTTGATCAAAGTCAAACATTAATTACAATAACACATTCATAACTATACTCATTATGATTCACACATTTTGTAGGACCCGTTAATAAAACATTTATACATTTTCCAAACAAAGACTAAAATATGCAAATAATTAATTTAAAAACATACGAGACTTTGGGAATAACTTACAGTATGAGAGAATACCAAACGTAACCAGTATGATGAGCACAAGCAAGAGAGTGGCAACAAAGACTGAAATGAGTGCCCGTGGACCTTTGAGATAATTTCGTCTTAAAGTTGCCATCCTCGTATTCCATTTACTGCGACGATGGTGGTTCACATTGTTGAATATATTAGAATAAGAAAACATTTCAGNAGCTTACTTGACGGGTCTTTCTACACTAAGCCTCCATTTGAATACAATTTATAAATTGATTTATATATTCGATCAAAGTCAAACATTAATTACAATAACACATTCATAACTATACTCATTATGATTCATACATTTTGTAGGACCCCGTTAATATTCCTGTTTGTAAACCATTTATACATTTTCCAAACAAAGACTAAAATATGCAAATAATTAATTTAAAAACATACGAGACTTAGGGAATAACTTACAGTATGAGAGAATACCAAACGTAACCAGTATGATGAGCACAAGCAAGAAAGTGGCAACAAAGACTGAAATGAGTGCCCGTGGACCTTTGAGATAATTTCGTCTTAAAGTTGCCATCCTCGTATTCCATTTACTGCGACGATGATGGTTCACATTGTTGAAAATATTAGAATAAGAAAACATTTCAGAAACTATGATTTTCTTACTTAGCCGCTTGATTACATGATAAGCCATGTCATTTCTCTCCAAAAGGTTGCTAACGATTCCACGACGTCGCAATAATTTTGTATCTTCAGGGAAACGGACAAGACAATGCATGAAGAATACATAATCTGTCACATATTTTTGAGGACTGCCTGTGAGGTAGTACTCATATGCAATTAGATTTCGGAACAACCATTCTGTTGAATCAGAAAATTTCAATTCTGCAATCTTCATAGCTTTATTTTCGAATTCAATATGAAGCAAACTATGATATTCTGACTTTTGGATTGAAATCCCTGCCTTCTCGAGCTCTACAGCTGAATATATAGTAGCCACTTTACCTGGATTTCCAGCATCCGTCAGAGATACTACTGTTGCAAAGGAAGAACACTGGATGTCATGTACAATGCCAAGAAGATGGAGAGCATTAACAGGGAGTACTTCAGGAAGATCTTCCCTTGGCACTGGGAAAATGCTAGAGTGCAGTAAAGGATATATTAGAGAATTGATGATGTTGTCTCCATTTTTTAAATCGATCATGTTGAACAAACATTCAACAATGAAAAATGGAATCTGATTCTCAAACAGCAGTAGATCATGAAGCAAATGACTTTGTATATGCTTATGCTGGAAAATGGGGTCACCTTCATACCCCCGTTCTTCGTGTTGATACAAATAGAGAAATTCGATGATAAAACCACCATCAAAAATCAACATTTGCAGGAATTTTTCTTTATCAAGGTCGATGTCTTCTTCATAACTTTGCCGTGCCCTGTCTACTAAGGGTAGTATTGCGGTAACGCATCTTTCTGAACTTGTATCGTTTATTCTTTGAAGAAACAGCTTTA